GGGAGGGGGAGGGGAGGGGGGAGGGAGGACCCGCTTGTCGCTGAGCTTCCCTGCCCCCACTCTCCTGTTCCTCCTCCTGGAAACCTCTGCTCTCTCAGTATAACCCCCGGAATCCTGAGCCCCTAAAGCTATTTGTCTTTCCCAAAAGGGAGTCCTCAGACCTGGAATGAGGTACCATCTCTGAGTCCCAGGGTGAAGGACCCTATTCTTTCTCACCTCCTCCAAAGGGAGCCCTTGGGGTTGGTCATCAGCTCACCTGAACAAAGATGGGGAACACCAGGACCTTGGGGGCCAGGGTGACGTAGGTGCCATAGCTTGAGTGTGGGGCGTGCGGCCTCATGACCGGGCAATTCTGGTAGTTCCCATGGCCCTTCATGGTCTGCACCGTCTTCATCAGCCGACATTTCTTCCCCAGGCCCGTGTAAGACTTCCCTTTACTGGGACTCCCTGATTCTGTGGAACAGAGATGGGGGACCGTGAGGCATTTCTACCCCCACTGCAGAGGCATGCCTCTGCAGAAACAGGGAACACAGTCTCAGTCCATTAACAGCCATTAACAACAGCAGCTACCATGCGCCAGGCCCTGAGCAAGGTGCTGAGAAGACAGGGAGACCTCAGAAGGAATCCCCTCACACTCTGTGAGAGATACTAACATGTAAACCAGCAAGGACGAGGACAGAACTGGGAACCGCCAACAATGATAAAGGCAGCATTCCTCATCTGGTGACCCAGGACCTGAATCAGACCTATCAGTTTGGCCTCGTACGTTTAAAAATCAGAAAATCTCTCAGATTCGAAAAATCGGAAGATCTGACCTCACCGGGCCCACAGTCCCACATCAAACAAGCAATCAGATGGAGCGTCCTCGGTGGCAGAGCATGTGTGGTCCCCCTTGTCCCCATCCCCACTGCTCCCTGCGCACATCCAACACTGCTGGCCCTTTTCATTGCCTCCCAGGTCCCTTGAACAAAGGGACTGGAAGTCATGTCTCTGCAGTGATAGCAGAGACAGCGGGCTTTCTCAGGATGTATGGGGGTCTGCCTTCTACTAGCCAAGGGAGCTGGAGCGGCCTGGCTCACTGAGTCAGTCTGGAATAAGGAGTGGCACCTGCCACTCCAGTTCCCGGGGAAGAGCACCCGTTCTGAGCCAGAGGGCTGCACCCAAATCCCACTCCTCTGCTCCCCAGCTTGGTGACCACCAGAAACTCACTTCGCCCCTCAGAGTCTTGGTTTCCTCACTGCAATTATAGTACCAAGCTCATGGGGTTGCTGTGAGGATTAAATGAGACACTCCAAGTAAAGCCCCTAGAATAATGCCTGGGACCTGGTAAGTGCGCGATAAAAGTGAGCTGCTAACTTATTGTGGTTTTGTTGTTGTGATTTCTCCACTTGGGAAAGCGAGTTAATCAGATACTCCAGGGACTCTGGGAATCCTAGGCTTCATCGCAGCCAGGAGGTATTCCCCGGCTTGGCTATCAACTCACAAATTATTCTCATCAGAAAAGGGGGAGAGAGAGAGAAAGAGAGAGAGAGGAGAGAGAGAGAGAATGAATCACCCCCAGGGAAGAGAGCAGAGAGCTGCAGGGAGTCCCTCTATAAGGTGACACAGCAGGACACACACCCTCATACTGAACAAGGGGTGGCATACAGATCTTTATCATGTCTCATCCAATGGGCAAAAGAGCAAAACACAGAGTAGCTAAAAAGTCAGGAATTCTTGGACACAAGCAGGTAGGAGACAAACTCCAGGGCATTCAGACTCTGCACACACCTGGGCCCCCTCCGAGGGTCCCTGCTGTCAGGTGGGCAACTGATCAGCCCTCCCTGACCTGCATGCGCAGCCCACTGGGGCCCAGGTCTCCTTCCGCCACCCCCAGTCCTGGCAGCCTGGGGGTGAACAGGTGGCCTGACCCCAGCTACATCTCGGGGAAGCTCCCCACCAACGCGTGGTCCACAGCCTCAGGGGAAAAACTCAGCTCGGAAGGTTTCACACTTACCTCCTCTACCCACCCCATGCCCCTTCTCACCGAGCAGGGTGAGAAAAACAAGTCAACCCACACACACAAGTGACCACTGATCACAGCAGTATCTTGGGACAGCACTCGAACCATAATAACCTAAACCACTTCCTGCTTCTTCAGGGAGTCACTTAGAGAAGAGTAAAAAGAGCGTGAGCCCAGGACAGGGGTGGGGGGCAGATGCATGGAAGTACCTACCCAGCTCCTCGTCTGCTCTGGCCCCAGACGTCCGCCCCAGAGGGCTCTGTGCTGCCAGGCACTGGCCCCTTTGCTGAAAGAACCCATCCTGGCTCTCAAGCTCTGCACTGGATTTGAGTTGGACAAGACACCTGAACTTGAGCACTGGCCTCCTCAGAGACTGGCTGTGTAATAACCCTGACCAGGTTCCTTCCCCCTCTGAGCCAGAGTTTTCTGCACTGCAAAGCAGAGATAATACAGACTGCTGCCTTGCCTGCCCCAGGGCAGGTGAGGGCGCACACGAGAGACCCGATGGGAAAGGGTTTGGTGAATGGTACCAGGGTGTGAGGGCACGAGGATTATAAACCCAAGCCAACAAATAATCCACCCGTCAGGGCTGGCATTAGGACAGGGCTGCTGCGCCACAAACTGTACCATGAATGGGGATCAAAGGGTCAGTCTGGAACTAGACAGTCTAATTTAACAAAACCAAGCCTAGACCAGAGAAGGCAAAACCACACAGGACTGACAAGCAAGGCAAAGTGGACCAAACTTAACAAAGGGGGCTGTTTGCTAATGCCAAAATCTGGGCTTTTGCCCGCCCCCAGTCTGACCTTTAAAGGAATCCACTTCTTCCTTGCCCTAGCCCAGCTGCACAGGGCTGTCACAGAATCTTTGCCTTGGGCCTAGAGAGTCATGAATAAGCCACTTGACATACACCTTTGCCTTCAGGTGGGAAGCAGCCCCATTTTATAGACAAGGCAACTGAGGCCTGGAGTGACTGGGGGACTTGCCCAAGGTCATCTGGCCAGTAACTGGTACAAAGCGGAATCAACCCAACCTATGTGGCATGCCCTCGTGCCCCATCTCCACATACCCTGGATAGTGTGTAGCAAGTGGGCTTGATTTTCCAAAACTGATTTTTTGAAGTATCTTTTTTTAAAGACAGTCCAAGTTATAACCCGGCTACTGAGCTCTGTGAAGGCAAACTCCTTAACTTCCCACCTGCTACCGCTTACACCCTCTGGGCCAAACCCCCATATCACCCCTTAAACACCTGCTTCACTGACCAAACAGTAATTACTCGGCTTTGCTCTGGCTTCCGAGGTGAGCCCTGGCAGCCATCCGCCCCCCGGCCGTGGCGAATCTGAGGCTGGGCTGCGTTCTCAGGGCAAGGGACAATGCCAAGGGCACCCGCGGCCCTGGAGAACAAGCCGACGACAGGCAGGCAGGCACCCCAGGCCCCAGAAGGGCACCAGACCCCATTCTATTCAGGTTGGCTCAACCCACCCACCCTCCTGCAAGGAGGCCGAGCAGCCCAGCCAGAGGAGGAGACAGAAGTCGGCACCCTGGCGACAGCTTTAGCCTCTGGAGAACCCTGAGTGCGTTTAAGGGAAGATCTGTACCCTGAATTCCACCCCTTCCTCTGAACCTGTGGACCAGGAGCTAGGAATATTTGATCCCTGGTAAAGAGCAAAGATGACCTTGGACACCAAAATAATTATCATCGTGAAGAATAAATGAAGTCAGGGCTTCCCTGGTGGCGCAGTGGTTAGGAATCCACCTGCCAGTGCAGGGGACACGGGTTCGTGCCCCGGTCTGGGAAGATCCCACATGCTGCGGAGCAACTAGGCCTGTGAGCCACAACTACTGAGCCTGCGCGTCTGGAGCCTGTGCTCCACAACGGGAGAGGCCGCGACAGTGAGAGGCCCGCGTACCGCGATGAAGAGTGGCCCCCTCTCGCCGCAACTGGAGAAAGCCCTCGCACAGAAACGAAGACCCAACACAGCCAAAAATAAATATAAAATAAATAAATTAATTAAAAAAAAAGAATGAATGAAGTCAGGTCAAGTTCTTAATATAATGCATTCAAAAGTTACCACTGTTATTAACAGCAGCATCATTTCCTTGCTTGTCCCTCTCCCACAGCCTGCGTGACTCTGCCCTTCTTGGTTTACTAAGTACTGTACTCTCAGAGGGGAACCAAAATGTGGACACGAGTTGGGAGGACACCAAGAGGCATCTCTCGGCCAGGAAGGAACCACACCAGCCTGCCTCAACCCACACACCTCTCCAGCTCCCCTCCCCCATGAGCAGTCTGCAAATCTTGGAGGCAACCAGAGTCATTCCCCTTCAGTCAGTCACTCCAATAAAATTCTATTGAGTACCTGCTGTCTGTCAGACGCTGGGACCAGCATCAGACACATGGAGGTGAGCAGGCCTAGGCCCTGCCCTTAATGGGGTCACCATTTAGCAGTGACATCTCCACTCTAACCTGATGCGGCAACTAAAAGCTTTTTTAAAACTCAGTGTTGAATCACCATCAGACTTTTCTCCGGAAGGAACACAGATTCATTTCTAACAGACCAAGCCCTAACACCCAAATGCCCCAGCCTGGAGAGAATAAAGATGGCTTCCATCCGCAACTCTGAGCCTGATGGGAGCCCTTTTCCCTCCAAAGGGCACCTGCTCTAAGCAAGCATCGTCTTCATGCTACTGACACAGGGGGACAGCAAGGAAGCAAGTCTGCAAGTGGTTGGGAAAAGGCCATTCACAAAGAAAGAGGTCAAAGAAGGAAGGGCTCAAGCATATCCAAGGTCAGCACCATGGACCACCAGGCAAGGCTGGTCTCAACCTTCCAGATACCACCTGGACTCCAGCCAGCTAGACTCAGGCCAGCGCAGAGACGGCCTAAAGGAATGCCCAGCCAACTCCAGCAGCAACACTGATACCTCAGGTTTCCTGGGAGAAGGAACTGGTTTTGAGCCCAGCTTCTCGCCCTGGCCCTTAAAACATAAGGCCAGGATTTGAAGGACAAAGGAGAAAAATCCCTTCAAACAGCAGAGACATCTGTGCACTTCACAGACAGCTAACTTCTGTGTAACATCACTCAGTAAACAGGCTGCTACTCAAAACCATTATCTCCTTCAATCCTCCCAACACCCTCTGAAGTGGGAATTATCAGCTCTGTTTTATAGATAAAGAAACAGGCTCAGTTGCTCAAACTCACACAACTCCAATTTGGAACCTCCCAGCTCCAAATTCCGTGCCTCCCTCCCGAGCTGGCCTGACCACAGTGCCTAGAGCACCTTACATATATTGGTTGCTCAGTAACGTTGGTTGAATCTCAGCTGAATGCCTGAGTCCTGAACACCGTCTGTTAGACTGCTCTGGGAAGATGCCCTCTCTTCCTCCTCAGTTCAGGGTCCAAGGAAGAAAGACACTGGTTCAGTGAGGGAGAAAAAGATCCCAAGAGGAGACAGAGTGTGTGTCAAAATGGTGGTGGTGGGGGGGATCTTGACTCTGTTGCGAAGGTCTCCCAACTCAGAGGAGTGGGGGGGGCCCGGCCTCGCAGCTAACCTTGCCATCTCTCCGGGGCTCAGAGGGCACAGCAGCAGAGGAGAGACTCACCTTCGGGGATGGCATCCTCCTGGTACACAGGCCGCAGCAGCTGCGAGGGAAAGACAGAGAACTGCCTCAGCCCCAGGAGCGGGGGCAGACCACCAGGCAGGCTGCTCAGCCCTGGCCTGGGGCTAGGAGGGGAGCATCTCAGGGCACGAGGGCAAAACAGCAGTCCCGCTAACGAGCTGAGAGGGGGGCCTGGAGGGATCACAGAATCTAGAATCCTCTAGAATGTTCAAGTTGAACGAGGCTTTAGCTGTTATCAAGTCTAACCCCTTGGCCAAGGCCCCAACTTCCTCGACAGCAGCTTGTTCCAAAGTGTGTTCTGTGGAACACTGGCACTTGGGACGCTAACAACTCCGCCACAACGGGTGCACCGTCAGGGGAGTTTGAGAAATGCTCGGTTAGACGAGGGCAAGCCAGCTTCTTCACTGCAGACGCCCCCCGAGCCTCAAATAGGCTAATATGCATTGGGAACCTCCCAGAAGAGGAAGAGAGTATAAGGTGCTTCTCAAACTCATTTGACTTCAGGAAACTTTCTTCCCAGAGTATCTCCTGGGACCGATATTTTGGGGCACACACGCTGACATCCCATTACGCCATCTTACAGCTCCTATGACGGGCTCGCTGCCTACCACGCAGCCCATTCCGCTGCGGATAAGTGCAGACTGGCAGAAAGCTCTTCCTTCTTTTGAGGTGAAATCCTCTACTGTGTGACCTCCCCTGGGCCTGGATCTGTGCCCTGAGGCCACAAAGACCCACCTGCTGTCTCTGCCCAGGACAGCCCTACAGGACAGCCCTATAGAGGCTGGAGCTAACACATAGCCCACTTCCCTGCTCCCCACTCCAAGCCCCTGGCAGGCTCCTCACAACACAATTTTGAGTCTTTGCATCTTCCTGGCCTCACTCAGGGACCCATGCCCTTCACCTCCCCTGAACCAGCTGTCCATACCTGGCTCCCAGGGTTCAGCGGGGCCAGGATGATGTAGTTGGGGTCGGCGGGGGCAGTGGCACGAGACAGTGCAGGCAGGGTGTGCTGGCCCCCGCGCTTGGTCACCTCAGTGTAGCGCTCCCAGCCACCGAGCAGCAGCCCATCGGAGCTGTCACACACCAGGTGACAGCTGTGGCGCTGCTCTGGCCGTGCCTGGGCCCCGTGGGTGCAGTTCTTCTCCCGCTTGTTGGGGGGCGACTGGAGGTCATGGGTCGACTTGCAGGACGCCCGCCGCAGGACCCCGCCATCTGGCCCCGGCTTGACCTGGGGGACCATGCGCCACACAAGCAGGATGATCTCGCTGGGGCAGCTCCTGGAAGTTGGAGGAGGCGGAGAGTCACAAAGGGAAGTTGAGTCTGGGGGAGACCAAAGTCAGCCACGGTAGGGGCCTGCGGGGGCAGAGAGGAAGAGAGGGGAAGAGGGCAGGGAAGCCCCAGTGCCAGAGCAGGAAGGGATGCAAAGGCCATCTAAAGTACAGACAGCAAAGGGGTCCCTTAGGTCGACTCTAGTTGACTGGCAGAGGCTGGGAAGGACACTGAGGCCAAGGCCAAGTAAACAAGAAAGCAGACCAAACTCAACTAGTGATGTGCCTCCTGGACACAAAGTATTATCAAGGAGGAGCAGGCAAGCCACGGCCTGTGTACAACCCCTCATCCGGTCATTCTAGAAGCAAACCTAAAATGGGCCACAAGGGCTTTAACCCAGAGGGCCGAAATTTAGGGGACCCCAAAATTTAAAGAGTAACTGTTTAATTGTGCAATTGAAAATGTTCGCAACATCTACGCATCCTTAGGAAACCAAGGGCTTAGCTCTGAGGTAGCAGAACTAATGAGGTAAAGTAGAGAGCGACCCCCTGGAGCTGCACCACGAACCACAGGGTCTGTTTGAGGGCTTCTTCCCCACTGTCTGCTCTGGGATCCAAAATTGCTCAGAGCCTGAACCTTCCAATTTCAGGCCAAGAAACTGATTCCCCAAGGAGCAAAGTGAATTGCTCACGGCTGGGAAGGAGGGACGGGCGAGGCGTATGCCCAGGTCTGGGGAGGGGAGGGGAGGTGCGCCCCAGCCCGAGGCCCCAGGCTGCCTGCCGCCCCTGTCACCGGATCTCGTGTGCCAGCTCCACGCATTTCCAGTGCTCCACGGGCCTCTCGTTCAGCTGCAGCACCGTGTCCAGCTGCTGCAGCCCTGCCCGCTCTGCCGGGCCCCCTGCAGGGACAAAGAAAAGCCACTCAAGGGTTCCTGAAGCCCACAACCCCCTCAAAAGCCCCGGGGTCCTTTGCTTCCACAGTGACCTTGGACAAGGACCGCTCCCCTCTGTTTCTTCACCTGTCAATGAGGGGCCAACCTCGGGGGCTCTCGGGGACCCTGAAGGGAGGCTCCCCTTTGCCCTCACTTCCTCCCTGCCCGCATACCCAGTACTGGCTGACCTCTCTCTGCTGTCCACCTCCCCGCCAGGCCCCCCTTCCTCCCCAGGGCCTCCCACCCCTTGAGAACCCTTCCTTGCTGCCAGGCTCACAGGCAATGGGGGCACCCAGATAACCATGTCCCAGCTTCTCCATTTTGGATGCTCACTCTGTGACTAGAAGTCTTTTTTTTGTGAAAAATAGGGAGGGAATGACTATTTTTAAGTGCTAATCAGGCTGGAATAGGATAAAATACTGCTTCCAAATCGAGTTCATAAATGACTCTCATTTTCCCATGCAGCCATTACTGAAAATATAGGTTTAGTTCCTGTTTGAAATGATTGGGAAACAAAATATAAAAATCTATTTTCATTTTTATTAAAAACAACAAAAAAAAGAGTAGGTGTATTTTCATAGACCTCACTTTCATCTGTGGTCATTTAAAAATATTATTCTTCTCATTTTGAAAAACCAGGACACTTTGCTCCAGTTTAGGGCTCCCCTTTCAGTTCCAACATCTTGTTTGCAAAGCCTCGGGCTGGCATCACCCGAGACACTCACTCACCGGAATCCACGGCCTGAACTCGGACCGGAGAGTCGCAGCAGATGGTGAAGCCGAAGCCGTCCTTCCCCCTCGGGATGGTAATCTAGGACACAGCCCTGCCCAGTTACTCCCAGAAGCCATGAGGCTGCTGCCTCTGCTCCAAGGTCGTGAAGAACACAGTCCCCACCCCAGAGCCACCTTCCTCTCCAAGGTTGCTGGAGCCAAGAAGGAGGCTGGCCAGCCCCTCGCTGTCCCTATCTTGGCCCAGGCATCTTGAGCACTGGGTTGTGGGCCAAGCAGGAAGGCTGGGAGCTCAGGAGGTAAGCCAGGCCCATATGGAAGGGCCCAGACCTAGCCTTGGAAGGCTGAATCTCGCCTTCCTCAGCCCTGGCAGACATGTGGCCTAGCCCTTTACCCAAGGGCCCACTGCACTGCACGTCTCTGTCTCACCTGTGACCCACTGCCTGCTCGGTCCCTTCCTCCTTTCCCCAGGGGTTCATGGAGCATCGGCCCAAGGCTGGCCCCATGCTGAGGGCCCAGAGACAAAGCTGGCCTGTTGGCTGCCCTCCCAGAGCACAGGGGAGGGAAGACAGGGATGCACACACTCACCACCTCAGGCCAAGGGGCAGGGGACACGTGCTAGGGGTCTCAGGGCCGTCCACTGCCAGGGCCTCAAGGTATCAGTGAGGGCTCCCGGGTGAGGGGGCAAGTGAGGGCACAGATAGGCTTCCTGGCTGAACCTGAACTAGCCAATGACCTCACTGTGCCTGCTGCAGCCTGTGTGCGTGGCAGGTGCACAACCCCTACTTTCAGAAGTCCCCTGAAAGGGCCCTGCCACCTGGATGCTCTTTTCAAAGCAACATGCAATTATTGAGCTCCTACTGCATGCCAGGCTCTGCTGAGGTACCAGATCATGAGGCCTTGGTCTCTGGCTCCCAGAGGAGCATGAGGGTACACTGATCTCTAGAAAGCAAAGCAGGTCATGTTAAGCATTACAGCAAAATGTGAGGATGGTGCTGGGAAGAGTCCTTTGTGCTTTGACTTTAGATGACAGGCCTGGAGCATGGCAGGAACCAGCAAGCGCTCCGCTAGTGAGGACAGCGCTGCAGCCTCCCACCAGCAGCGGAAAGCTGGCAGGGGGCGGCGTGGTCTGCTAGCTCAGTTCAGTTCTATTGCTGCATGCCCTCTCTGTGCACCCCCAGTTAGGCTTTGGGAGGTGTGCAGAAAGCCCAGCCCCTGACCACTTAAAGAGCAATTCCAGGCTGCTCAGCGCAGGCGTATGAGAGCAACAGACTAAGGCAGATGAAGTCAGAAAAGGGGTCTGGCGCCCTGGATGTGGCGTGGGCCCCGGTGCAGCATGGGTTAGGGCACCCCAGGCAGGCTGAGGAAGAAGCCAGCTCAGCAGCCCTGAAAGAGGTCAAGGGCCACCGCCTCGTTAGGAGACTGCTGTCTCCTTCCTTTAGGGGTTACCTCTTCCAGGCTGGGTGCCCGGCATTCACCTGCCAGCTGTCCCAAAGGCCAGGCATGGGAAAGGGGAGGGCCGGGGAGCCCGGGGTGACCCAGGCCCTTGGATGCTGCTGGGGAGGCCCCTGAGGCTCTGCTTCCCACCAGCCCTGGGCCTGGATTCAAAGCGAGTTTGTAAAACAGGAAATCTGACAGACAAGGGGAAGGGGTGGGGGGGGCAGGAAAATACCCTGTTCCCATAAGAATTCTGGGAAAACACACAGCTAAGACAGGAAGAGAAAAAAAATGGAAAGAAAGAAAGAAAAACAAACTCTGGAGTGAGCGCGGAAAGCCCAGACTGAGGCCAAGGGACGATGACAGGAGCCCGGTCCACTCCATGCAACCAGCAGGGATTTCAGGGACCTCACAGCCCACCCTCAACCCAGGCAGAAGCTGGGATGCCAGCATCTTGCTAGCACTTCCCCAGTCCTACACCACCAAGAGCCACGGCCCCTCCTGCCTGGGGTGCGGCTCTGGAAAACCAGTCCCAGCACCCAGGGCTAACAGTTTGGGGACTGGCCCCAAAGCTGAATCTGGAGAGAAGGAGGGTGCTCCAGAAAACAGCCTGTTCCCCGCATCCAGGTGGAACTGTGGACAGGAGACCCCTCTGCCTTCCTGGGCACCAGGCTAAGCAGAGCCAGTCCAGACAACAGTCCAGGCCAGCTGGGGGCTGGGAAGAGGGGAAGAGGAGACGGTGTTGGGAAGCAAGCCCCTCTCCTGCTCAGTGTGAGGGGGTAGGACTGCATAAAGGAAGCAGAATTATGCTCTGTCCATCGTGACCACAACCATGTTGAGAGGACAATGTCCAAAGAACCTGATCATCACTGCAGCCCTGAGGGAATGCAGGGCTAGTTTCAGTATGCCCATTTTACAGAGAAGGAAACTGAGGCCTGAAGCAAGTAAGCTCTCAGCCCTCCTCTCTGACCTCAGGCCTCAGGGTCAGGAGGCAAGGGAAGCAGCCCTGCCCTATCTCTGGGACCTCAGCAACTGCTGGCAGAGGCCATCCTTCCTGGGGTGCTTCTTGCTCTTTCCCGTCCAGTGCAGGAACTGCTACTGCTCTCAGATCTCACCCATGCCAGCATCTCACTTCTGCCCTCCTGCCTGATTTCTGACCCTCTGTCATGCCTAGACTTCAATCTCAATCCCCAAATGCCACAGTTATTGAACCCCCTGCACCAGGCACTTCATACATATTCCATTTACTTTCACAGCATCGTCACATTATCACCCTATTCCACTGACAGGAAGACTGAGGCTCAGGGAGGTAAACTGCCATGCACAAGAGTCAGACCTCAAGAAGGGCAGAGCTGGATGTGAGCCCGGGTCCAGCACAAAGCTGGTGCTCTCAACCCCGCACTACTTTCTAGCAGGGGATCCATCTTGAACTTGGTCCCAGAGCCCCAGGCCCGGACCGCACTCATGCCTGGTCCTACTCTGACTGCCAGAGTGTCCCGGTCCTCAGGCCTGTAGTCCCAAGTGACCGAGGACTACTCAACCTCCCATCCAGTGCCCTCTGTGCCTCACCACCCCGCCATCCAGTTGCCAGTGTCGCAGGGGCTGCTCTGCAGGCTCCAGGAGGGTGGTAGGGCCCTGAGAGCTGGGGACTGAAGAGAGAACACACATGTCCCACTCACGGTGCAGGAGGCCCCTCTGAGCATTTCCCTGAGACCTAAGTCTGCCAGTTTGAAGGAGTTCAGGACCCAGATTCCAGGCTGGTCATTAAAACACAGAGGGACTTTTCCATACTTTTAAAATCAGAACCATTCCAGAGTCCCATCAGCTTGGACATTCCCCAAATCTGGACATCACTTGCCTTCACCCTGTCTGACACCATGCCCTTTTTATAAGAAAAAAAAAAAAATGTCCCTCACAGTTCCAGAAGAGTCTTGGGGGCTAAGGGATCATCACTCCCACTCTGCCCCACATCCTGAGACTGGAGGCTGAGGGCCAAGCCCTCTCTGTGAAGTTGGGCTCTGGAGCCAGAGGACTCCGGACCCACTTCAAGGCATCACAGCCACCCGGGAGGAAAATCATGTGTGCGCACATATACGCAGACACATCCTACCTCGCTCACAAGCACACACCAACACACGCTAGAACACAATCACACCTACACAACACAGGACAGGCACTGCCGTGCCATCAGAAGTAGGGAAAGTTAGAAAAAAGACACAAATCCAG